AAAACAGTAAGAAGCTGGGGTTGTTCCCTGGAGTTATTCATTTTCGTTCTTCGTTTGGCGTTGCTAGAGGAAGCCATGAGCGTTGGATTGTTTCGAGGAAGAAAAGAACTGAGAAAGTTTAGAGAGAAAGGCCTTTTGAAGCGTTTCCCACAGACGACACCAAATGATGTAGCACAATCCGGTCACTCCTAGCTGGCGCTCGTGTGGCTCCTGAGAAGTACCTGAGACGAGAGGAAAGAGGAAGAACTCCTGGGGGGTTTCCCGGCGGGGACGCTCCGATGCTTAAGTTAGTATTGTGTGCAAGAAGCAAAAGGAGAACAAAGGTTAAGAGTGCAGGTTACGCTGGTGATTCGAAGATACCTTGCTCCTTGAGAATAAGCCGCTTATAACCGAATTCCGTTGCTTCAGGCCCTCTGACTTCTAATAGAGCAGGCATAACCGCCACTGTCAGTCTGCCACAGCCGTTACAGGCAAGGCTGAGGTGGCACGTGCGGGGCCGTCGTTGCAGGGTATGTATCTGTCAGGTGCGGGACACCTTTCTAAAGGTGGCAGGCACGGCGAGAGGGACATGCCTGCTGTCCATAGATTTATCGGGTACGGCGGTCGAGCAGGAAGCCCTCCTATGGTATACCGAACTACCCTGAGCCAGGCTATCATTTAAGTGACAGGTCGCCTATAGCCGGTTGTGTCGAGCTAGCTGACCCGAGGTGCCTGGGCCTCGGGGTGTTCGGGGAAGGATCGGTGCATTCTTGCCTGGGAGTGGCCCGAGGTCCATTGGGAGGAGCTCGGGTCTTAAAAGGGGTTAAGGCACCCGAACTCGGGACCCCCCGAAGTGCCTTAACCCCGGGGAGGAGGTGCGGGTAAGGCGGCTCCCGGCGAGTAGTTTACTCGTCAAGTTGCCGAGCTGAACTCGGTGGGACTTTCCCTCCGAGTTATGCTCACGCTCGTTGCGCTGTCATGCTGATTCACTGTTTGGGCAAGGTCACGCCCACGTGTACCCGTGCTGCGAGGTCGGGCCAAATCACCCTCCATCACATTCTAAAAAGAATATGGCTCTTGATAAGAATTTTGTAATCAAACTCTCTAATGTTATTCATTATTGCCCATTCTTGCCTAGAATAAAAAAGATTTAAGAGAATGAAACTCAAAACAGTAAATCAAACATGGCCTTATTATCTCTTATCTATACACTTGCATTTGTGGGACAGTAATAGCCTTTTGTTTTTTTTTTTTTTTCTCTATGATTTCATTGAACAAAGCTTAGTGATTCAGTTTGGAAAGGATATCTTATCGGTTTTTCTTCCGGGTTTGGAGCAGAAGTTAATGTAGATGACTCGAAGCAGATGAAGCTATATATCATGGCTAATATTTGGGTTAAGGATGATAAGAAAAAGAAGGGTTCTTTGTCTGAAACTCCATTCCACTTTTCTCTCTTAAACTTATCCTTTGACTTTTTTGATGCGTCCTCTCCAGAGGAAAAGCCCCCTTTRAGCCAAATTTCAAAATCAACCGCTTCATAACCAAAGCACCATGGAAGCTTAATTGAAGATCAAAAGTTCGTGGGTAGTTGAAAAAAGATCAAAAGCCATACTCGTGGGCCTCATTCATAACAATCAAGAAACAAAAGGCATATTGAGTAAGAATTAGAAAAGGGTCAACCTGAACCTGAACTGTAACGTTTGGAAAAATTAAAATGCAAACCCCATGGAAATTAAGAGTGGAATGTTGAACATATAAAATTGATCATGCATACCTGTTTTAATTTGTTTTTAGCTATATAGCTAGGTTGCAATGCATGTGATGGGGCGGGATGGCAGATAAGTAATTAAGGGTCTGTTTGATTTACAGTTGRAATTGAAATCAAAATGGGAGATGAAATGGTTCATTCTTATAGTTTGTTTAGTTCAGATAATAATAAAAATAAGAATTAAAATCAGCAGGAATATGATTTTATTCTCATAAGAGAGATAGGGAATGGCCATTTCCTCAAATGAAGAATATCATTCTAGCAAAAATGAGAATAAAATTGTAATTCCATTCAACCAAATAATTAGAATTGAAATGACCCATTTTGATTACTATTCCAGACCCTTATTCCTATGAACCAAATGTGACCTAATAATAGATAGATAGGAGACACAACAATACAACACACATGCATTATGTCAATCAACATTAATTACTGATGCATGGGCTGTTAGAGAGGCAACCCGCCAAATGGCAATTGATCCCAAACTCAACCATGTCTGGTTCGTTAAAGACTCAAGCCACGGATAGTAGTTGAATTATGGAGCGAAGTTGATTAATAGACAATACGATCAACGACTAAAATGTAAAAATAATTGGAAGATCTACACAATTTCTGAAGATATATAAAAGTTAAGATCCAGGGTCCAGTATGTATTATTCATTTCAGACCAGATCTATTAGATACAATATGGTAAGCACGTTGAATGAGTACTGATAAATATTCTGACAAGTATTAAAAGTGGTTTTTAATCATTAAAAATTGAGGGTATTTTAAAGGACATGTGTCTAAAAAATTTCTAAGTGCCCATCCAACATACTTACAGCGTTGTACTTACTTGATCCGAACAATATTCATTTAATCATCATGCATGGAAACAAGAAAATATTATTTTAACAAACTTTTATTTCTTCCCTCTAATTAACACTATTTCTCTTCCTTCTCCTTCAAGAAACTAGTTAGAATTAATGTTTAAGGAAAAAAAAAAAAAACCCGCAAGTTGAAAAACTAAACCACCGGGGGGCCGGTAGATGATTTCACATTTCAATAGCTAGCAAATGGCTTGCACTGCCAATCTCCTAGTGATGTTGCCATTGCATTTGCTTGATCCAAATGTTGCTTCAGAGGAAGTGATTTTACATCTCTCTTGTCCAAGACATGCCTGCAGCAAATTAATTACAAACATATACATAAAATTAAAAATTGGTTCTTCTATCAGAACTCAGAATTATTAATTAAATCATATATATTAATTAATTAATTAATTAAGTTGAGGTATCACGTACCTTGCGTACCACATTTAAGGTATTGGCAGATTCACAGGTTCCTTTGCGGAACATTCCACATGAGCCTTGAGGGTCTCCGAAGCTAGCAAATTGGATTGCTGTGAATTTCCGGCCACCTTGGCATGAGAGTTGCAATGTATTCCCTTCATACGCATTTCCACATGCTGTTCCCACGGTCACTGTCTGAAAACTCACTTGTGAAGGATTTCCACCTATTTCTTCAAACAAAATCAATGTGTTGCTTCTATTTTTCATCAGGAATGATCGTGGTATGTGGTACCTGATGATGCATGCAGTTGCAATTAATGTAGATTAATTAGTTTATTTTGTATATACATGCACTACTTATTACGTATTTAGTTATAAATTAATTAAGCTCTATCGCTATATATATATACATCTGAGAGAGAGATAATGCATGCATCAAGCAACCATCAACCTCTAGTTAGATCTGCTTGTACATTATATATATATATATATATATATAGCTAGAAAATATATAAAACTATTAATTAGTTGGTAATTAGGTAAAGTATTACCATCTTTGGGAAGGGTTTCCACAGTTGGTCAAGCATTTGGTTGGATCGTAAGTGCCACGATAGTCGCATGTGTCATTGCACCCAGCTTTCTTGTCGGCAAGGAAGGCAGGCCAGAACCGACCAATGCTCTCTCCATTTACCCACGCATGCCCTTTACCCATTCCYACCATATCCACTACTACAGCATCTGTTCCCAATGGAGTCTTGAAGGTGGTCTGATCATCATATACACACACATCCAACACTTTTCATTCTTTCTCTACTTTTCTAACTTATACTAACAAAATTAAAGTTAATTTACCATGTAATTAATTATGAAACACCCATTTTACTTAAGAAAATTAAATTAAGTGTTATACATCAGGATTTAATTACCTTGTACCAAGTCATGGGTCTGTTGATAGGAAGTTTCTTAGAACGCCAATACTTGTGATGGTGTATTTTGATGTCCTTGTAGAATTGCATCAACTCGCCATTCAAACCAATCTGATTGTCCGAAGATCAATATATATATATATATATATATTAAAAAAAGTTAAAACATCTAATTGGTCTTTTTTTTTCTAGCTTAATTCCAAAAGATTAATTAATTAATACCTTATAATACCATTGGTTTGATGAAAGGTCCTTAGTAACATTCCCACTTAGAACCAACTGAACTGGACCCCCTGCTATTCCTGTTGGCGTTAGATCGAAAAAAGGGCCATAATTCTGCTCAAACATATTAGACAAATTAAATAGAGTTATTGTGCAATCTTAACTGGCCTTTTAAATTAGAATTGAATTAGCTAGTTCCAATTAAACCATGCAATTCATATCAATTGTCAATATATATATATATATTAGCTAACCAGTGCAATTTCTTTTCTGTCCATATAATTATGCCTGTTTGTTTGCTTTTTCATACAACTAGCTTAATTATTCCATGATATAATATAATAGAGATAGATAAAAACAAGTTACATACATACATACCACGAGTCCAACTGTGGCACTGAGTAAAGTTATTTGGTTTTGCCCGGGCTTCAACATGATTGGTCGCTCAAACACGAATCCGTAATTGCCACCTTGCCCCCATTGTGATCCTGTGCAATCAACCCAACCCTCAATTTCGGAAAATTTTAATTACAAATTAAGGGTCCGTTTGGTTCACAGTTGAAAATAAAATTAAAATAATTTATTCCTATAATTTATTTGATTCAAATAGGAATGAGAATAAGAATTGGAATAAACAGAAATAAGATATCATTCTTAAGAAAGGAGTAAGGAATGGCCATTCCCTCAAATGGGAGAATACCATTCTAGCAAGAATGAAAATAGAATTCTAACTCTGTACAATTTGTGCTAACTAATTAAAATATATATTGTCCTAATAAGCTAGCTTAAATTATATTACCTACGAGCCTTCTGTTAACAAAAGCATGGAGTACATGCCCAGTTGTATTCACTCGCAGAATTGCTTTCTTTGCGTCTTTCTTAGCAACGAGTACGCTATATATGAGAAACAACGTATGCAGCATCATCATAAAAATTAAATAAATTAAAATGGAATGAAAAATAAAGAAAGAATTAATAATCTAAATAAACATATGTAACAAATTAATTTACACCAACAACGTAACAATTTATTTACCTGGTCATGTACCACAAGTAATCACTAACATCAATTGTTGTTGACTTTTGTTCAAGAAGTTTTTTGACCTTCAAAGGACCCCATCCTTTAAGAACGTCACGAACAGGCTCGGGCTTCCAAACCCACTTGAGTTGATGATTGTGTTCACTTTGATCAGTTGTTGCTGGCTTCTTTGTCATCAACGAGGTTTGAGTGTTCACCTGTGCGTGGAAGGATCATTATTATCATTATTATTATATATATTTAGACTTAAGAGTAATCTAATTAAGGTGTTATTTGGCACTGAAATCATTTTAGGAAGATACGTACTCTGATAGTTTAGATGGTCAAAAGACGATGTAATTAACTTTTGGGGTTTTGTCTGTTTGGTAAATATCCTTGTTTAGCATTATGTACAAAGTTGTTAAATAAAAAATTTTAGTAATTCTAAATTTTTGGCCATTTTGAATTTTAGGACATACATCTTTCTGGCTTCCTATGTTGAAAAAATCACACAAAAAGACTTGTCTAACGCTTCCTAATTCTTTTTGGACTCCCTTGCTTTGAGAACGAGATGTACCTTGGCAGTGTTGTAGACTTCCTTGCTGCAGTTGGCAAGAATAGTAGCAGACCAAGCAGGCACGAAATAGTCATTGCCATTTGATTGCAAGACAATGTTGGTGTCGTTGACCGTGTTTGCATTGCTCAAGAAGCAGATTGACTCTCCAGTGCCATTGTTTACGTATGTAGTCAACTGAGATAGCACAACGTTACCCCTCTCATTCACAATAAATTTATTTTGGTTATAGAAAAAAAAAAGGAAAAGATTAAGACTTTATTAATTATTAAGCTATATAATATACATAGAAAGAGAACTACTTACTTCCAGTCCAGCACCAAGTAGCTTAGTGGAATATGTACCATATGTAAGGACGCTCTGTGCTGACTTAATGACAGCATGAAGTTGCGTTAGATGTCCCCACTTTGGTTGATTCAAATTACCTGATATGTGAAGTTTGATCATACTAGTTCAATTAGTTTTAATTAGTAGGTAGAATAATTAGTGTCTAATTCATTTATATATATATATATATATATGTATAGTATTTAATTATATTTCTAGCTAGTGACCTGGTGCATGTGTTATATATGATCGATTGTATGCTTAATTAATTAGGCTTACCGTATTCATCAAGTAGTGCGTCGTAATCATAAGAAGTTGTAATGTACCCTCCTGGTGTCCGGCCAAAATTGGTTCCTCCATGGTACTGATGATGGTGATGAAGCCAATTAAAGCAAGCCCAACAGCGCCCACAACATCAACATATGTGTACATGTACGTAATTAATTAATTATTAAACTATATATGAATACATATTGCAATAATTAGTTAAGCAAAGCTTATTATTATTATTACTATTATATATTAATTATGCTAGGGAAATTAAATTGAAAATATAGATCTGTGCATGGGATGTGTAGAGGCTCTGGCTAGCTAAGGGCCTAGGGCTAGTGTGGAACTGACCATGTAGTAGTTATGGAAAACGCCACCAAATTGGAAGAAACGAGCAATGGAGAATGCCACATCTTCGGTGGCTCTGTGGGGGTCTGCTCCTCCCCACGTCTTGAACCTGAAAGTTGAAAGCTAATTAGTTAATTATCTATTTTAAATATCATATTATATAATTAGTTCTCACGCACACATTCATTTGCACCAGTTGATCGATCACTGAGAAGTTAGAACTGACTAATGAGTAATGAACAAAGAAAGAGAGTAGTAGCTACTAGCTAGTGTTACATTGGTTATAATTAATTAATTTAATTAGAGAAGAGACTACTACGTACATGCTAATACCTACTGATCAATACTCAGTATAGTCAGTACTACTCACCATCCAATCCAGCTTTCAGTCCACATTATAGGGCTATTGGGATTGTTTGGCTTGAAACCATCGCAGTAAAACCCATTACAAGTATTGATCTGTTCAAACATAATTAATTCAGGCTGATGGAATCAAATCTTGCATGGATGATCGATCCATGCATGCATGGGTCAGTTGAGAATTGATACAGAAAAGTTAATTAAAACTAGTACTGACCTGAGCAGCCAGCTAGTACGTACTACGTAGCTAAAACTAAAGAGAAGAAAAAAAAAGAGTATAATACCATTGGGTAAGGTGCATCGCTCTGTTTGCACATGATCCATGGGACACCAATATTTTGAGCTGTAGCCATTTTCGCACACCATTTGATATATTCTTTTCCCGCTTCCCTGTAAGGTCCCATTATGTTTCCATATTCGTTCTCAATCTGTTCCATTAATTTCCAATTTTCATGCATATAATTATATATAAAACAATATATATATATATATATATATATTTAATTAATTAATAGAGAGATGTGAGAAATTAAAACAGACCTGTGCAAGGATTATGGGCCCTCCTTGTGGGGCGAAGAGGTTTTCTCTTTTACACATGTCAACTATTAAGGTCGTGAAATTCTGCATCTCTTCCTGTTCAAATTAAATTAAACTAAATATGGTAATTAATTAAGATTTCAGATAGATGATGCTAAGATCGGCATTAAACAAAAATCAATAAATTAAAGGGAAAAAAAGGCAATTAAAAATATAACCTTGTATACTTGATTGTTTGTCCTTAATTGAATTCCTGGTAAATTGTGTAACCACACCGGGAATCCTCTGGTACAAATTAATTATAAAAATTAGCCGATTATTAGTTTCATTAATTACAATATTTATTAGGAAATAAATATAAATAATTATAATCCGCACTCACCCGTAATTCCATTCAGCACACACATAAGGACCAATTCGAAGAAACGCATACAGTCCCGCATTCTGTACAGTCTTGAGGAACTTGATAAAGCCTTTTCCACCAGAGAAATCATACTGCATGCACATGCAACCATACAAAATTAACAAATTAAATTACTTCATTTAATTAAATTAATGTATTATATACATCAATATAAGAGCTACACTACTAGTTTTGTAAGAAGATAATTAATTCCAACCTGACGACGACGAATCTCATGGAGGTCCCAAAACACATATGTCTCTATCACATCTATCCCACCATCCTTTGCCTTCTGGATCAGATCTGGCCACATCTGCATATGCATATGTTGCAATGATCGCGATCAAATTTAATTATTGATGATAGTAGCGGCCGGCCGCTTCGTTCCATTTCTATCCATCATCCGTTCTTTAATTTCTCTATACTACTTAATTAATTATTATTAACCTTCGTACCTCTGGTGTGCTGCGCGGATAATGGATCGCACCTGAGAACAAAACTCTTCGTATTCCATCGATTATAATTGCACGTCCATCGTAAGTTACTTGTGTTGCTTCAACTTCAAGCACCGGCAACCAAGACCAAAAACAACACACCAAAGCTACACCTAAAACAACTACGATTTCTCTATTACAACTCCTCCTCATCGTATTAATCATATACTAGCCTCCTTGTCAATGAAGCTTAATTAATTACTTCTGTATATCTCCACCTCCGTGTCGATACGTACTCGATACAACATTTATAGGAAAGAATTCCTATAAATTAATCAAAATAACTAATCTGTATTTTTCTAAATTTGGACAGAGGAGACAATTGGAATACTTCTGTTCTGTGATCTTGCATGTCCATCTGAATCAGATGTCATGCCTACTGAGACACATCTCAGTGACTCGTTCTCTTTCCCATTTTAAAATTAAAATCCGCTACAGACTCGTTCGTATTCTGTCGATGATCAGAATCAGATGTGAGGCGAGGTGGGTGCTCCCAAGTCCCAAGTCATCCCCAATCAACTGAGCTAATTGTACACGTGTTACATGATCAAGTGTTGCCAGAGACAGTGGATCCCCCACTCCTGAAGTCTCTAACTCCCTGGAATGTGCTTTGTTTGAAAGAGTAAAGCGGGAAACCATCAATTCAGGATATTGTTATTGCAAAACTCAAAACAGTTCCTTGTAGCAAACTAGATAGCCAATTAACCCATATTTAATGACTTATTGAGTGAATTAATATCCTAATAAAGTTTAGTGATCACAATAAACAGTTCGAATTAACTTGATCACCATATGTATAGCATTATGATCTAGCCAGTCATAGTAGCTTTGTTAGCTGCAAACTGATAAGTTTGAAACCTCAGTGGTTCAGTGGTTCTTTAGTCAAGATGACGTTGTAGCTATACTAAATGGGAAGATGTTGTTGATAAGAATACAGCGGCATTTGGCAAGTCTTTCCACCCAGTCTTCTGGGTTTCCGTAAATTTGAAAGTCCAAAAATAGTTATGTTTCCATTTGATAACCAAAAACCTAAAAAATAAGAAGTTGCATGTATAGAAAGGCCTGAAAAGACTGAAAACATTAAATTTTAGGAAGTTTCAAATTAAATTTTTTGGTCTTTCTACAAATAGATAGACTCTAAACATGTTTTTTAAAGCCTGATAGATCCACCTGCTTATTAAACAATCTTTATCTTTAAAGACAAGACCCAAAAGCTCAAAATGTCTTTGGGCTACTGAAAGATCTCTTGAAAAAAACTTTCCAAACGGCACCTACATCTTGATCATAATTAACACACCAGAAGTACTCTACCATGGTTAGGGTAGATAAAACAATTCCCATGTGCGCTCCTCACAGTTCATTCATCTAATTATAGTCCAGAAATGCTTTTGATTTTGCAATGTTTTGTTTATCAATTTTTTTCTTTTCATATAAAGATCATAAATTCATGTAACATCACGTAAATATAAATATGTACAATGCAAATACATTTAAAATACCCTACAAAAGATTTTGCACTGTGACTGAACATATTTGTACTTCACACTCAATATGTATCAGGTTTTGGACCCACCAATACGCCAAATATTAAGAATTTGAAAAGATTTTCCCATATCTAACGTCTAAATTCTAAAATAAAATGTTTAATTTAAGATATCAAGTTAGGCCCATTTAGCGTGCGTTGGGTATTGCTCATTGCCTTATTGGACTTAGATTTGAACGTGGGCTTACAAGGCCGAATCTAGGCCAAAATTGGTCATATGTTCTGTCTGGGCTGTTTGGCCTAGTCACAGACCCAGAGTTGTAGAGCAGTCCAGCTGGAGGATATATGGATATAGTACTGGTTCTAATCCAAMTATCTCAAGTGGGATTCACCGCTCACCCAATCAATCTCAAGGAGATCTCCAATCAGGAGGCTGACAATTTTCAAGGTTCCGGCTGACCAACGGGCTAGCCAGTAGCCATTGAACTTTGAACGCAAGGGCCATTTTCGTGATAAGCTCAACATCCAAGGGTAGTTACATTCGCCGAGATTCCTCGGTAGAGTCTGTACCGGAACGGGATCTGCTCCTTAYACAAGGGCGCCTCACATGCACATCCACCGTGCATTGGGTATCATTTCTCGTGAATAATAATTTATAAGTACGAGAGATGCTTCCGATGCATGGTACGATGTGCATATGAGGCGCGAGTGAGGCGCCCTATGTGAGGAGCAGATCCTGTCTCAGACGTACGTGTACTGTGTACATAAAAGCCTACCGAAAGAAACATCCATCGCTCTCTATCCGAACCCATGGCGGTCTTTGTCTTCCATTGCGACTGCATGTCTTTCCGGCCATATCGGCCGTCTCCGTCCGCTTTTCCCGGTGTACTTGTTCCCTCCGGTAAGTAATTATATCTCTTGACGACTTTCACCGTCAAATCATTCAGTTCTTCTAGCGTGAGTAGGAAATTGTCCACCTTCTTTAATGGATTTATAGCTCTGAATACTGTAACCAGACTTCGATTTTTCGGAATAAGACTTGAGTCCAAGTCATCTATTCTTAGAATGTACTCCAGTTTCTGTTGTTTTTCTGTAACAGGAACTGAAATGTTAGCTTATTTGGTAGATATTACTTATTTGTCGCATGGCATGTTTTATATTCTGGTTTCTGAGGTTACATTTGTAAGTTACGCCTTCAATTAGTTCAAATGATTTTCTGTTGTTCTTCTTATTCTTTTTTTTTTTTTTGCTGGAAATAAAACTTATATTATTCTTTAGATTTAATGAAAATGATAAGAATATGATTTACTAGAGAAAAAATGATAGCTTTTTTATCATTAATTAGAGTTCCTACTTACTTTTGCTAAAAGAATATGAAATAAAAAGGTTTTAGTATGATTTTAAGTTCTAAATTCTTTTTTTTTTTTGTTTTTTTTTCCTCTTCTCTTTTTTGAACAAACTTCAAGTGCTTTCGATATTGGTTATAATTTCTGGTATTTAGGTTGCTACTATTATTTGCTTTGAATTCTGTAAATAACGGTCATTTCACTATCTGCATGCAATTCAATATTTTAAGTTCTTTATTTGGATTTCTTGGTTCGTCTCATTTTAACATACATTTTGTTATGGAAAAATTGTTGTAGAGGAACGTTTTTGCCGTAATATTCTATGTTAATGTGCTATTACCGAATGAAGAAAGACTAAAGAACCAACTCTTTTTAGTCCTTCTAAAATTAGCAACTGATACTATCTTTTAGATCATTTTTTCCAAAAGCAAAATATTTTATTCATTACACATTTCATCTGCATATGGAATTTATTCATGAGATTGCAGCATACAGATTTTGTTTAATAATCATAATCTATTATCAATAAGGAAAATATGCTGTATCTATGACTCCCGTGTTTTTATTTTTCTTTCCCTTTTTTTACCTTAATGGGGAGTCTTAACTTTGGCCCAAGGACCAAGTTCCTTCCCTTTGAAACTCTGATTTAATTCTTGCAGCAAAACGAGGTCTAAAAGATATATTGCATGTGAGAATGGTGAAGATCTTTAAGCATGTCATGCAAGAAAAAGCATTGGGTAAGATTGATTTATCACCAACTAGAGGGGAAAGAAGTCTCTGTTCCTTTGTCAACGCTTCTTGTAGAACCCAGACACCAATTGAGACAAGATGCACATTGCCAAACTGCCGATCAATGTATTCAGGGCAGATGAACAAGTTGAAAGGAATTTGTGATACTGATCATAGGCTACTAGGCTTTTCCAAAGTTATTGTGGAACACTTATTTGTTCATCAGGTATGATGGTGAGTCTCCTTATATTATGCTTTTGATATTTCCTTTATTTAGATTTTATTAATTTTATATTTTCTTTCCTACAAGTGTCACAAATAAACCCTTTATAAGCATTGGAAKCTCCATTCCTCAGAGTTGTGCATTAACATATTCAGTATTGTACAAAGAAGTTTAGTTGCTCAGCCTGGCATTTCAATATCCTCAAGTTATTGCAACATAATTTTGCTTTAAGTTCAGAAGCTTTTATTGGTGGAAGACTGGAAGTTGGAGCGAAGTTGTATTTGTTGCTATTAGGTTGTCAATTTTCAGATCATTGTTTTAGAAGCAGCCTGTTTAAAAACCTAAATTGTGGTGTTACTGGAGTTTGACTTGTTTTCCTGGAGGTTTTCTGCTTGATCATCTGAGCCATAGGGACCGTTATATCTCTAGTAGATGTATGATGCATAAATCAAAAAGAGGAACCCGTGCCTCTATACTATAGATCATTTGTTTAATGAGACTTATGATTTGAGAGTTTCTTTCTGATTCGCTTATTCTCCTTTCATGCAATTCTCCTCTCCTTTCCCTACCCATCAATGGGATCCAAGGTACCCTCTGGTGGATGCTGTCTATTGTTGTTTGCTGGAGCATCTGTGAAGGGATTGAGAGGCTTTTCATGGTGCCTATGTGTGGATGCCGGTTATTACCTCATGGATTTGGGTAGTATTCGAGGACTTTGGGTTTAGAGGAATTTTGTTACTGTCTTTGTTTTGTGTCTTGGGAGTAGCATACTGTAAAGCCTTTTTTGAGGCTTTATTTGCCCTCTTTTTTACGTCTCTATATTTATTACACCAATGAATTTTTTTTGGGGTTTGTGATAAAAAATGGAATGGCTGAATACTTTTGTGTTTTTCTTATGTGTTAGTATATGGCATTTTCATAGCTAAAAATATGAATGCATGATATGATATATTATCATGGAAAGATGGAAGTCTTTGGATTTTGGCATCAATGCATACATTCCACAATACTTTATGTATCTCCAGCTTAGATTTAAGTAGTATATCATCCTATGCAGATCACTGTCAAGATTATCACGTTCCCCCATTTGATGGAAACTATGATTGTTGCAGATCACGGCACCATTCAACTCACCGACTACAATATTTACTGTTGCAAATATTTTGATGCTGGTCATGCCTTTTGAAGCTCTGGCAGAAACATGTGAGGCTGATAACTCTGTTTTCAACATGCCTCTTTTGCTCTTTGTAGCCCTTGTAGGGGCCACTGTTGGAGGTAGAGTAGTATTAATTTCTGTCAGTTTGTTTCAATGGAATTCCACTAGTACTTATAATGAAAGTTTTCATTAGCTTCCTGGAATGGATTATGGATTATTAGCAATGTAGTGACAGTTGAACTATAGTTGTTCAGTTTCTATTGTTTCCTTACATGTGTTGTTATTATGTGCATTTGACATAATTCTCAAATAATATTCTGAATGTAGTTGTATCTTAAATCATAGAGAAAATTGAATTGAATCAAATTGTGAATTGTATAATAAATTGTAAGATTATTTCCCTCTTTTTACAAACTTGTCTAAAAAATTAAAATAGATATATAAAAAATTTGAATATATTTAGAAAAATGATTCCACTCCAAGGTTCAAAATTTCGATATGTATTGAGCCGTATTGTATCGTGGGCTTCCCGATACACCCCTATAGAGGGTGTTTCGGGGTCTAACCCGGTTCGGGGGTTAGACGGGCCTTAAACCGACCCCTCTGAACCAGGTTGGAAAAAAAACTAAAAAAAAAGAAGATGTGAGCCTCGATACAATCTGATACACCCCTATTGACGTATTGGACTGTATCGATATTATGAACCTTGTTTCACTCTACTTTTAATCCATATGTACCATATATGTACCTAAAACAAAAGAGTTCACCACTTGTAAACTAGAAGTCTAAGATGATAAGTTTGACTTGAAAGTCAAATAATCCACATACAATGGCTCATTAACCTACATATGGTGGGAAATAAACTCAATATTGCTACTAAAAGGTTTTAAGTTTGACCTGTATCCATCTTTTATTTTCTTAATAAAATCTTACTCTACCTCTTCATAAAAAAGGTTTTAAGTAACCTAAATAAATGATTTTCTGGTAAGGAATTTAAAACAACTTTCTCTTGACAAAACTAAATAGACACAAAGAAATGACAAAATATATTACTATTTCTTAATTGATTTTTCTACCCAAAAAAATCTTAATTGAATTGATTTGAATCACATGAATCATATAAATTGTAAGATTCATAATGGCATCATAGGATTCAAACAAAAATTGTAAGGTTTTTGTAGAAAAGGATTTAAACATACGATTCAAAACAAAACTATTGGGATTTATGATTCAAATCATGAATCATATAATAAATCATAAGATCTTGACTTCTCGAAAGGAATGCCATAACTATAAATCAGTGGTTGCATAATAATTTGGTTCCTGGATCTTAACTTTTAGACATAGAAAACCAAGGTTTATGCTTTGGTTGCCACAGGTGCCTAAGAGGTCAAATGGCATGCAATTTTTAAATATGTTATTATATAATAATTTCTCAAAAAAAAAGGTTTTGGMCCTTGGGTTTGTTGTCTTTTCTTAGGGTACTTAGTTGTCAAGGCAACTCCTAGGTGACAAGGCACCCATGGAGAGTCGCCTAGCTTTAAAGTGCTTAGTTGTTATATACATGGCGCTATGAATTATTTATATTTTCTATTTTTATATTATAATAATTATATAGACATCATTAAATTAAATTATTTATTTTGTGGGTTCATATACTAGTTTCTTTTTATTATTTTCTTATCTGTTGGGGTTCAATCAACACACATGTTAGTGTATGCTGTCTTGAACCCTCAAAGGCTTCATAACCTGAACTGATGAGCAAGGAAGAAATTTAAATTTTGTCCAATCAACAATTCAACATATTCTTCCATCCTTTCTTTTCATCTTTTACTTGGATCAAAACAGGGGCTAAACCCCTGTATTTTTTTAATTTTCTATTCTTTCTTCTTCTTCTTTATTTTTCTCATGAATGTATAGATTTCAATGTTTTAATATGCAGGTTATAGATAATTACTAGTGAAAGATGGTTGTTGGTTGCTATGGAACCTAGGGAATTACCCTAGATGTTAAAAAAAAAAAACCATCACCTAGGCAACCCCTTGTCTCCTAGCCTTGCCTTGGTGCTTTGAAACCTATGGGATGCTTCTATTTTGGGTGCCTCAACTCTGTTTGAATTACAAAACGCAAAAAACATTACTTTATGGAAATGAATTACAAATTTGATTGTATGCAGATTTCAATTTGATACGTTAATAGAAGAATATTCCTAACCAAATGCAATATAAGAATCAAAAGTTACATATGGTAACTTTTTTCTATTTGAAATTGTCATAGGATATTAACTTGAGTTGGAAAAAAAGATATTCTTATAATGTTTAAAAGAAATTACTTAAACCTCCCCCATTTTCTGATAATTACTTAACAACTGCCCGGGTATTATCTATTGAGAAAGTATTATCTGTGAGCTTCTTTGTAATTAAACCACACTGTTTGTTTCAGGTTTGCTTGCACGGCAGAGGAGAGGAGAACTTCAAAGGTTAAATGATCAGCTTCGACAGATTAATGAAGCACTTCGGAGGCAAGCAAAAATTGAGTCCTATGCCCCCACCTTGAGTTATGCTCCAGTAGGTAGTAGAATATCAGAGAATGAAATAATTGTAGATTCAAGGAAGCAGGAGTTAATTTCACGTTTGAAAAATGGGAAGAAATTCCTGAGAAATCAGGACCCCCAGAAAGCATTTACAGAGTTTAAGACGGCTCTTGAGCTTGCTCAGAATCTAAAGGATCCAATTGAGGAAAAGAAGGCTGCTCGAGGCTTAGGTTTGTATTTCAGCCTTTCATTTTCCTATTGTCCTTTTGTTTAGTCCTTTTTGTTTATGAACTCTAGAAACGAAATAAATGGAATACTCAAACCCTCTCTGCTCAATATCTGCAAATTTTGGCATTATTATTATTATTATTTTTGAAAACTGTAAAGTAAAGCCACATGAGCTCTTCTCGTTGTGAAAATTTGTTCTCAAAAACCTAAGTGTCCACAGCACACAAATAGGAAGGAGGACAGAGGGTCACCCTGGTAGAGGCCTCTAGAGTCTAGAGCATAGTTTTCTAAGGCGCCAAGGCGAGGTTAGGCGACAGGGGGGCACCTTGTCGCCTAGTTGCCTAGGCGGGTACCTAGGCAATGGATTTTTTATATAGAAAACATAGATCCTAGGGTAAAATAATAAAAAGAAATTAGTATGTAAACACACAAAATGAATATTTTAGTTTAATAGTGTCTATTTTATAATTATAATGTCAAAAAATAAAGAATAAAAAAGTATTGTATAATACATAGTACAAAACTGCTTGGCGATTAGGCGAGGCGAGCCTCAAAGGGTGCCTTGTCGCCTAGGCATCGCCTTGATAACTATGGTCTAGAGTTTCTGAAATATCTATGAGATGCACTGTTGACTAGAATTTTTTTTTTTTTTTTTATCGGAAACGGTAACTTCGTTACTGTAAAATTAAGATACAATTATCAACCCCTAAGATAGGAGTTGGGCCCAAGTAATTTGAATTACAGAACTGCCCAGAACAAACTTTCCCTCACTGTCCCTTGTTTGGCTAAGGTATCAGCCAGACCATTAGTTGATCTTCTTTTCCACTTGAAGCCTACATCAAGCTCCCTTGTTATATTGAGAATTTCCCGTATGGGCTTTTGTTATGTCCATGCTCCCAACTTTCCTGATTGCAGCCAGTCCATTAACAATTTAGAATCTCCTTCTATCTCCACTTGGTGTAATCCCAATTGCTTGGCATATTTTACACCTTGAAGCAGAGCCATCACTTCTACTCGCAATGAGTCTCCCACCCCTATTAGCCCAGAAAACATAGCAACAATTCTCCCATCACCATCTCTGAATACTCCCCCTATACCTGAAGGCCCTGGGTTACCTCTAGATCTCCCATCAAAGTTCAACTTTATTCTTTGTTGTGTTGGAGGGGATCAAATTTCCTACAGAATAGGTTTTATAAATGTTGTAGCTGCCACCATTCCCCAATTCCTAAATATGTCCTCAACTGAGAAATCTTTAAACAAATCTAGAGTTTTCAACCAATGGGTAGTCATAATGGTTATTCTTTCTATAGCTGCCTCCTTGGATTTTCCACTCCTTTAAAGATCCTGTTATTTCTTTCTTCCCAGACTGACCAGAGTATAGCTGCTCTTGTGGCTCTCCACATAAATCTACCACGCCTCTTTGGTTGACTAAAAAAGCTTGGGTCAAAAAGGTTTATCACATCCGGGGGAGGTGTCCACCTGCAAACAAAGAGAGAAGAGAACTAGGACCAAATAAAGTGCACAAAAGGACAAGATATTAATAGGTGTGTGATCGTCTCACCAAAACCCAAACAGAGGCTACAAACATGGGGTGAAAGGCAAAAATTTGGCCTTTTTCTTTGCAACACATCCGGAGTATTGATTTTTTGAAGAACCACCTCCCAACAAAAAGCCCGAATTTTTGGGGGTACAGGGCTACACCATACCTCCTTTGATGGAAAGTTTCTTGGAAGGTTATTTGATTGAATGAGGACATTAAAGAAAGAGGAACAAGTGAAAACACCAGAGAGGGAAGGTTTCCAAATTCTACTATCCTCACAAGACTGATCCAAAAAGGTCAACCCTAAAAGGGAAACTAGTTCATCCACCATTGCCATTTCCGTCTCCCTTAGACCTCTCCTTAATCCCAAGTCCTAAGAATTATCAATAAAAACCGAAGAGATCACTTTTCTTTTATTTTCTGACAGTGAATAAATAGTAGGGAACTAAGGGGACTCTCTCCCACCCAAACATCTTCCCAGAACAACACTTTGACTAGAATTGAGAAAATATAGTATCTTGGTGCAGACTCTTATCCAGTTTCTCCAACTTTGGCTGAAGTTCATCATTTAAAAATATCGCCATCATCATCTAAGCCTTGTCCCAACTATATGGGTTGACTATATGAATCTTGTTTTGCCATACCATTCTGTTTAATTTATATCCATTGTTAAATTATGAGCGCTTAAATAATTTCTTACTACTTCAACCCATGTCCTTTTCGGTCTGCCCCTAGCCCTTTCAACTTGCAAGAGATTACTGCTTGTTTTTTTGAAAGGTAACAAATCTCTACTTCTTGTGGGTGCTGTAAATGATCTTCTATGCACATGACCAAATCAATCATCATTTAAGAATATATTGTAGACAATCCCAATTGACATGATATTTTGCAAATTATGCCAGGTAACCTCCTCTTTTGTCGTGAATCTATTAGCTCATTTATAATGAACACCCCATCTAGGATTTACCTTCCTATCACAAAAGCTCCATTTCTAGAGATGATTGAATGTAGACCTTCTCCAACCTGCCTGGCGCCTGCCAATACTTCATCTATAATTTTGTAAACGCTGGCAGTAAGGCTTATAAACCTATAGGCTTTCAGTTCAGCTTCTCCAGTGAAACTAGTCATGCCATCCAATATCACTGACTTCCACTGTTGAGTGATCTGATCCAAAACTCCAGCCTTTTGCAGCCTCATATTGTCAAATCTGAAGGGAGTCACCCTCCTTTCTATGTGCCTCTACATATGAATAGACTTGGGGCATGGCCTGAAGTTGGCCAGTGAAGAGCCTCTTGTATGGGCTTAAGATAAGCGTCTTTTCTGTTACGAGAGACTAGGAGCCTGCCAAGTTTGGTCATGGTGAGTTTTTTTTAATGGTTGTCCATGTATATTTTGCACCTTGCAATTGCACATCCAACAGATCCCACTGGTTAACAAAATGTGAAATTTCTCCATTGCTGGCCTGATTCTTGACACACACACACCCCCGTACTTGAGAATTTGATAAAGTTGAACCATCCATGCACCAAGGTATATCCCATATACCTTTGATCTCATTTAGCTCAGTCTCACTCTAGAACAGTTGTCTTGGTGCTTATTCTGTTGGACCATAAATACCAAACAAAATAAAAGAACAAGCCTTTTGCTATTGATTCCAAAACTATCAAGACCTAGAAGTTGCTGGTCAACTTGTAAGATTATGGACATGATTATTGCCATGAAATCACAACACACACTGCGATTCCCAAACCTCTGTGCACAAATCTCACATACAGGTGCTCCGAGACTCGCAAAACTTGGAAGACTTTGAATCCAACATTTAGACAATCCATCATTTTATGCATGATGAGTGCAGTGATTGCAACGAGATCTGATGGTGACACATGGAGATCGTGTGAGAGGTGGGGAAAAGTGTGCAAGGTTGTACTTGGTTCCCTCTCATATGTGTCCCTGCCCATGACCGCCTATGCTGAGCTGGTATAACTAACTAAAGAACTTTCCTACGAAGAATATTCCGGAACATTATCCAAGGCAATGCACGAGAGGCATGGCTGCCTTGACCTATAAACAAGGAGCCTGATCTCCTTTTCGGGGACCTTTTCAATACTTTAGCACTTCTAGGGTTTCAAACACCTCTCTTCTAGTTGACTTTCCCACTGGCATAGTTCCTAGCTGACTATTCCACTGCCTTAACGTCAAACACCTCTCTTCTAGGTGACTTTCCCACTGCCTTAACGTCAAGCCCTTACACAAGTGGTGTTTTCTGTCCAGCTTTCAGAACTTCATAGACCACTGCCACTTTATACTCTTACACAACTATCATGAGAACTATAATTGTTTGTGTCCCAAATATTTTGCAAGCAGCTCCTACTGATGGAAGATAGCACTAATCACAAGGTTATGCACCCAAGATAATTCTTATGATTGAGGAGTTGAACACTTCAAGCTTTTTTTCCTGCACAATGAGTATATCTAGATTCCATTTCCTGATGTGATGACTGCACACAAGCACCTTCTACCTGACACCAAGCCCCTGATGTTCCAAGATAGTATTTTGCATGACGACATTTAGGTGAGGCACTGATCTCTACTCCTTCCTTTTCCCCATTGGTCCCTGAGATGCTGCCTGCTTTGTCATTGAGTCACCATGTAAGTCACAGAAATTCTCTGGATTGGCCCCTCTTGTCTCTCTTTGACCCCTCTTTGCAAGATTGGGCGAAGTTCTGTTTCTCTTAAGAGCTCCATTATTCTGTCCTCCATGCGTTCATAGGACCCTTCCAGAAAAAAAAATTGCTGGACTGTTTAGATGGGAGTGGAGGGGAGGACAGGAGTTTTGGTGCGACAAGAGCCATCCAGTGTTCTCCCTCTAAGGTCAGACAGCTTTCACTCAACCATTGCCAAAGGTTTGAGTTTCTGGTTTTCCCTTGAGCTTCTTATTTATATCAGCAATCTTGACCATATGGAACAATATGACCCTTCTCCTATGTGGGGTGTGATAGATGTCTTGCCCTGATCTATTGGCACTGATCAGAGAGCAACTGCACCATGACTCTTAGTATACTTTTCCCCTATACCATTGAGTCACCAGTGTTGAAAATTTTGCCCATGGAATGAACTCATTAGAGGACAGGGAGTAGTACTCTCTAATATATTTACACGTACACAAGCACCTTGTAACTGCCAAGATGGCTGGTTGGAATTGTGGCAGAGTATTGTGTTAATATTTTTTTAATATACACAATGATTCCATGTGCAAGTATAATTTTGTACAGCAAGATGTTATGCATCGTTTAAGCAATAAAAGGAAAGGCCATTACCCAATGTTGGTCCCAGATATCTTGGGTCATGGGAAGGTAGACTGGATACGGATCTAACCTTCAGCAGTTTTTGCAACTCTCAGATTCTAATCATGTTTTCATGTTTGTTAGCCCGAGAGTTTACCATTAAACCAAGCATTGTGTGGACAATAAGCCCAAAAAATTTAAGTCAATTCTGCACATTTTATTCTTTGTACTCTCCATGTATCCCAATCAACCCTTTTCTTTTGAAAACTGGCTTCATTGCACTCTTTGCATTTTCTACATATAGAGCCCACAAAATGGCAGCATATAAACCCTTTTCTAGATATGTGGTGTACTCTCCAAAATGTCTGCTGCCAATTGACTGATGAAAATACTAGCACACTTATAAAGATGCTTAATACTTTAAATTTGAGTACATACAGACCCACAGAACTCGATGAAATAACAAGTTGGATGGGTCTTAAGACTTGTTTTATTTTATGCCAATTATGGTTTCATATAATTTGTATAAGTTGGGTTCCTCTATTGTGACCTGGGTGACCAGGGTTCAAATCTTGTAAACAGCTTCTGTGTATCTCAGGGTTAAGGCTACTATCATCTGTCCCTCCCCAGGCCCTGCATTTACGGGAGCCTCATTCACTGGGCTGCCCTTTCTTACATAGTGGAGCTAGATTTGAAGTTAAAGGATACAGTGCATGCTTTCTACCTCCTTTAAGAGCTCTTGTTGATCTTCATTGGTTACAAACTAGAATGTCATAACATTTCTACTTTTTTTTCTTCTATTGGAGGAAAGGCTGCAAATTTTATTATTTTACTAGTCATGTATTACTTCTGGGTTCTGACTCATCGATTTTTTTTTTCATTTTTGATAATTTTCTGACTCTCACCAATTTCCCTCAATTATTACTTAGTTTTTCTTTCTCATACCACCATATACGTGACAAAGTATATAATCTGTATATGCTATTTATGCATCTTTGTAATGATGAAAAATGCTTGGTTCAGGAGCATCTTTGCAGAGGCAAGGGAAGTACCGAGAAGCAATAAAATACCACTCTATGGTTCTAGCAGTGTCAGAGCGAGAAGGAGAGGATTCTGGCAATACGGAAGCTTATGGAGCAATTGCAGACTGCTACACTGAACTCGGAGATCTTGAGAGAGCTGGAAGATTTTATGACAGGTACATTTCAAGGTTACAAATGGATTAATCTGATCTCTTTTTCTTCCCTTTTCAATGTTGTATCAGGATTGGCACGTTGGCAAAGCTCATGATTTTGGGTTTGAGGATGGCCTCTGGCCTAAACTTTGCGGGAAGTTCTTTGGTAAATTTTCACCGTATATTGAAACTTGCGTTTTGCAATGTATTTTTAATGCTTATTGATCATTAGGATATTAGTTGTATTTACCTCTATGATATCATTATGGGAAACTCTATGATACAGAAAAGATATGATATGGAAAGAGTTTTGACCAATCAAAACCCACCCATGAATTTTGATAAATAGCACCTGATTGGCTACCATGTTTATGTTTTTCGGATATCACATCTTTTCCATATCATAGTCGAACCCATTCATTATAGTTTGGTGATCCATCGGCAAAGTCTATGGTCTCTTCAAATCATTCTAGAGTATAATTTTGACCAATTGTACGACTCATGGCTTTGCTTCTCATGCCGCTGCATAGAGATTCCACCCCTTTTGAATGCTCACTACTTCTGTTGTTTGTGTTCCTTGTGTTCTTGAGTTTTGGCATGACATCAATGCCGACATATCAAGTTAGATTTTGGGTTTTTGGTAAAATCTATGGTGCAGAACTGCAGAGGTAAAAAACGTGAAGTATACTTTGTGTAAGGTAGAAGTATACTTTGATGCCCACACATCAATGCCGACATATCAATACATCACAGCTGGCATCTTTAACATTGTTAAAATCTTGATGATAAGCACACTTTGTGAAAGGTAGAAGTATATTTTGTTAATCTTCAAGACTTCAACCAATGAAAGCGAAGTAGACCATGTGAAATCTTGATTTAATATACAACAAATATTTATAAGTGGTCGGTGATGGACTTTAGATTTTGGCATCCTATATATATATATACAGACTTAAGGTTGGGTTGAGGGCAACAATGTAATTTCACTTTTGTAGATGAGGGCTGGTTGATGTATTAGAGGGCTGATAGAGCCGAGGGCTTGTAAGTCTGACCTGTAGAAGAAGAAGCATGTTAGAGGCCTCGGGTGTTATCTTAGGGGTGGAGACTCCGATAGTCAAGAGGGGTTGGACGAGGCCTAGGTAGAGATAGTTCAGACGATGTCACTAGAGAGTTAGGGAGCTTAGAGCCGTAGAAGCCAAGATAGCTTACTTAGGGAATGATGGTACTTATTTTTACTTGAATCTACCTGGAGTTTGTTATGGGCGGACGGCCAGGATGCGATCTGGCTGTGTCACGTGTTGCCATCCTGGGATGGCTATGTCGCCATCAATATATATATATACAAATAACCCGATCTTTGTTCATGGAAATTTTGTTGCCAGAAAATACCTGAAGAGCATTGACTAATCAAAACCTTCAATGAATTTTGATAAATACCACTAACCGATTGGTTGTCAATTGCTTGGTTACAAATTTTTCCATTATTATAGTCGAACCCTGATATACTATTCTCATTGATCATTTTAATGAATTAGTCAAAATCCATCTCCAATTAGGGGTGTTAATGGATCAATTTTGGATTGCAGTGAGGTTCAAAGTATCAACATAGGCCGATACGCTCTATCTACCAGCATATTAACTTGTATTGGTGTTTTATTTTTTAAGTTTTATTTATTTATTTTTAAAATTGGTTCAGAGGGGTCAGTTTAAATCCCGACTACCCTCTGAACTATGGTTTGACCCGATACAACCCCTGGAGGGGTGTATTGAAAAATCCATCGGCACAATACGTGTTGATACTTTAAACCTTCATTGCACTCCACCCAAACCAAAATCAATTTGGACAGATTGGACGGACCAACAAGGCATTAAATTGGACCAGTCTAGATTTAATGGTCTAAAATATTTATTGGATTAGATCTGATCCATCCATAATGAATTTATATTGGATTGGGTTGGATTGAGACAATATCTGGTCCATTGATAGAAGATAAGAATATAGGTGACCACGGATCAGGTTTGGGTTAAAACCAATCTAAATTAAAACAAATTTGAACAGGATGGTCCAAACATTGAATTGGACCAGTCCAAAATTCTCATAGATTGGATTGGATCTGGTCCATTTGTAATGATCCAATCTGACTGGATCGGATTGGACCAAAATCCAATCCAATTGACACCCAATCTACAACAAAGCAAACCCCTTTCTGGTCAGGAAGAAGAAGATACGATAAAATGTCAGCAGCTGCCTTTATGGTCTTTTTTTGGTAGGTAAATAGTTGGGGTACACAAGGGGTAGCACTCCCAAACACCCAGGCCTCCGCTATGACCAGAAGGATATCTGGCTCGGCTGTTTTTATGCCCTAAGGTTTAAAAGAAGAGAGCTATCAGCTCTAACAAACATTTCATAAGAAAAAAATTATTATACAAGCATTTCTATCTTTTTCTAATTAATGTTATAAACATTTACATAAAATCCCAGGAATCCATCAATAAATGAGGAATTCCATGATATAGATGATGAGACAAGGCTATATCTGTAATTTCAATAAAGAATAGGGTAAGTTGCAATAAATAAAACAAGAATTAGTAGAAATTCTCATAGGTGAAGCAAATCAAACCCGTTTTCAGATAAAAGAAGGCATAAAAAAGATTCAGATAAAAGAAAGTAACTAATCTTTAAGGGTTAGTTGAGGTATTTACATAAATATTAATTATCATTTTAAACAAACATTAAATTAGTTTTAAGATATCCCCTTAAAATCATGATGCAGAAGATATACTTATGTCCATACTCTTCAGAGTTCAGACCATTTTAAATGCCAAACGACATATACTCTTGGATAAGAATATTAGATATTAATCATATTATCATTTAACAGAAATTATTTTTTGTTAGCATCCAATTGTCTTACACTATTAAACTAAATATTCCAGGGGATATAATGTAGGCGTATTCTATCAGATTTAAAAAGAAAATCTATAAAGCAAACTTTGTAGACCAGAGATTAATTATCTTTTAGACAAAGCTTCATATATTTAATAAAGAAAGAGATATGATTTTACGGGCCATTATACAACTAGAGAAATGACAAAATGTCACCTGAATTATTGAAAGCGAGAACCAGCTTATAATATKTGTAAAGTGTAATTAAGCCTGCATCAATCATTTTAGTAGTTTAGAATAAACAAGATTGCAATAATATTCTTTCATTTCCAGAATCTATGGGTTCAATTGGTACAAGTCTACGTTGATGGACTGATGGAATAACTGGACACGTAATCAAGACTTGGCTTTTTCTATTTTAGTGGGGTTTGGTCGGGGAGGAGTTGTTAAAACATGGGCCGTGGCCCATGGTTTAATTTAACCGCTTAGAACTAAAGAGACACGTGTACGATGAATGTTCTCATGAAGTGGATACGCAAGTCGTTCTCAAGCAAAAGAGAGGAATCGGCCCCACTCAGACGTCCACATCCTACCTAAATATTCCGTAAATTTCTTTTTTTTTTTCTCTTTTTTTTTCGGGGCGAAGAATTATTCCGTAAGTCAGGACTCGAGGGCTCATTAGTCATCACAAAAGAGGCAGCGATGGCAATTGCAGGATCGTTCTTTCGGATATAAATCAATCATCCCGATGAGAATTTAGGTTGTGTTTGGTTTGAAGGAAAAAGTAGGGAAAGGAAGGGAAAAGGTGAGGAAATTTTTACAAATCTTGTATATGTTTCTCTATTTTTTCCTTCCTTTATCTTTTCCTTCAAACCAAATCTAGCTTTAAAGAAAAACGGCGATCATTTGCATTAAAACGTGAAAGTGGGGGTCTGTAGACTGTAGCTGTAAGATGGGAGGGTCGGATTTGGAATAACAAAAAAAATCCTCATTGGACAATTGGATGTCTGATGTTATTCTGTTAACTGTTACTGCCTTCGACATCCATGTGAACTGAAACCTACGTAATTTCACTTGTTCTAAATTCTAATATAAAGCCCAAAACCTAATATAGGTTATGTAATATCTTATTTCTCTCTTTTAATTTTAGAATTTTTAGCTTGTTCCTATCCAATCAAATACCTCAAAAATATTGTTGCCTAAGATATAATTATATATTTATTTTCAAATAAAAAATCACATGCAAAATACAAAAGATAAAATAGTAATACTTATTACTAATATGTACTTTTTATTATTTATGATATTATCGAGCTCAGGCTGTGCTTATTTAAAAAGTCGTATTATATTTTGTAAACTTTTCTCCATGTGAGAAAATTATTTTACTCACTTGAAAGATGGATATCATTTACGTCCGGATCTCCTACCCGCATTTATCTCAGCCACACATGGAGAACATTTCATCCTCTGCATAGTATTATGCAGGGGAGATGTTCCCAATTCACAGGGATAGTGTGTTGTAGGTAGACGTGAGCAGGAGATCYGGACTCATAAGTGATGCCTATTGAAACTAACTTTACCATGGAGCCTAGAGCTTACGTGAAAATAAAATAGTAAAGTTGGTCAATAAAAATCATTTTCCTGTTGACCAACTTTCCCCTCCTACTTCCCAAAAAACAAATGAGACATTAAGGTATAATATATAAGGTGGGATTTTTTGAAAACTAAAAAGTATGAAAACATATCTCCGCATGAATATAATATACAAATACAGGAAATATTCCTAACTCAATAGTACAAATACAAATATATTCGGCACAAAGCCTTTCACCTTTGTATATAATATTTTTAAATCTTACATTATACATATTTACTTTGGTATCATGAACTCGGGGCAACACCAATGTATAAACTTTTTTTGTGTTTTTTCCCCCTTGTGGAGTGTGAACCAATACAATCAGGAGGAATGCCCCTCCTCCATAAAGAGAGATACTGAAGACCAACTATTAACGACCAGGCCATAGAATGAGTAATAAGGTTTTCCTTCATCCCGACGACTATTGAGAATTCTTTCGCAAGACAGCAATCAAGATTCAAAAATCGTCGTCCATGATCGCCTTAAACCTCCAAGGCACATTTAGGAGTTGGACACAGCATCTAGCATCTTTTCCTTTCCCGAAACGTCGAAGATGACCTTGACGACAAGTGACAATCAGGCCCACAAACACTTGAGTAAGTCATCAAGGCCCACCGTTAACCCAAGTCCAAGCAGAAAGCAGAGAGGGAGTGAGACAGAGGAATAGGATTGTAGCCTTAGGCATAGGTTGATGACTCACACATTGTTGGTTATTCGTTGGCCCAAAGGATATTTTGAAGACGTTAGGGTTTAGGGCTGACCAGCACCACAGAGTATCAGCATCCATCAGGGACGGGGGACCTACCAGCTACCGGGTATTTATTAGCTACCACCATCGGTGTTCATTCTGCTTTGCGTCAGATCCCGGTGGTTCTGGGTCAGATCTCGGCATTGAGATCAATCAATGGAGTTGGAGGTTGGAGGTTGGAATCTATTAGGCCGCTGATATGTGATGTTTTATAGACTCTTCTTCAAGTCCGTTTCTCTCCACTCCAGTACTTTATTTTAATTTTTAATAAAAACTTTCTTGGTTGATGTGTTGATGCTTTGATGGGCCAGGGCCAGGGCCAGGACCAGGACCAGGACCAGGTTTCTTTTGTTTATTATTTATTAAGTTGTTTTTCTGCTAAATTATTAATCACCATATAATTCCAAACCATGGGCTAATCCCATCCCCCCACCCCACACCACTCACCACATAAATAAATAGAGAGAGAGCATATATACTAGGGAGGGGAGAAGCGGAAGCCCCATCTTCACTCAACATATATAATTCTCTTTCAACATGTTGGGCAAGATATCCCGGCCGGCGATCGGAAAGCTGCCGGACCCATTGCTCTATGGTGGTGAGCGATCCGCAAATCAGGACCCAATTACAAGCCCCAAAAACCCCATAGGCATCAAGATCTCATCTCCCAGAGGCTTGAAGAATTGTGATCTTGGCGCAGTCGGGTTGGGCATCGTGGCCGCTCTAGATAAATCGGGTAGTAAGGGTAATGAAATCTCACCAAAATTCATCGTCGGTAGCTTGAATTTTAACCGGTCTGATCCGATTTCGGTCGCTGTTTCTGCCACAACCTCTGTGAAGATTATAGGAGGTTTAGGCATGGAAGAGGATTTGGAGAGCTATACCAGTGTTACTTCTCGTGGGCCCAACAAGGCCACCTTCTCAAGAGTAGTGTATTTTGATAGAGTACGTGAGGATGGTAACAGTAGAGGTTATGACAAAATAGGTTTTGATAAGAGATGCAGGAACAACTTGGGTGTCTTCTACGAGTCACCGCCGAGATGCACCGGCGATATTCCTGTGATTCCGACGTCGGATTTTCTCAGTTCATGTTACTTGTGTAGGAAAAAGCTGCACGGGAAAGACATATATATGTACAGGTACAATACAATACAACATCTTCTTCTTCCTCTTCTTATATCATAAATAAATTAATTCACAAGTGCTAGCTAGGATTCATCTATATATATGGCTGCCCGTCGAAGTGTAAATCCACGGTTGAGCATGAATAATGGGTTGTAGCCCACACTGATTGCTCGCGCGGTGCCATTGGGTCAGCCAATAGTCTTAACCGAATAATAGTAAGAACCCGGTACATATAACTTGTGATGAGAAGAGCCTAATTGTGCATATATAATTAATGTGTGGTATATATATGTGCAGAGGAGAGAAAGCATTTTGTAGCTTAGAGTGTCGGTATAGACAGATAGAGATTGATGAATACAAAGAGAAATGCGGGTCTGAAGTCTCAAGATCGGTCGACATGTGTTGTTCGCCCTACTCTACCGGTACCGGAGGCCAACTCTTCTCTACCGGTATCACTGCCGCCTAGCAATATCATCATCAACTAGCACAAACAAATGCTTGCATAGTTTTGCGGTGGCGGTGGCGGTGGCGGTTGTGCAACCAGGGAACAACTCTTGGAATGATAGACAATCCGAGATACAGATACATACGGCAACAATAACAATAATTATACGTAAGAGCAGTAGAGCACTAATCAGTCGGAAACTCGGAGTTTGATATATGATATCTGAAAAACAATTGACCAATAAATTGGAATCATAAACGTGAAGAATAAGATGTTCTTTTGGCGTAAAATATTTTGCTTATGCATTGTAATGAAAACTAAAAGCCCGGATGTTGTTAAGATGATCATCCACGTTCTTATTTTCTTTTGGGTCTTTTTTACTTTTGCTATCCCTGATCAGAATAAGCATACTCACAAATTTTGAATGGCCAAAAATGGGCATGCACGAAGGTAATATCCTGGAAAAAAAATATCTAAATCATTTCCTACAATAAGATAAGACTCGAGTGTCGAGAGGCCAGCTGGATCTTTCTTTGATGAATACAAAACTGATGCATGACTCCACGATCAGCAAAGTGGTGAAAGTGATAATTTCTCATCTCAAACTACAAGCGATGAATAAGTTGGTATACTGGTATTTGACTGAAACCCCAGGATTTCTCTTATACCAACCCCCAGGGTACATTTAGCATTTATAATAATTAAGGGTCGTTTTGAAAGGAAAATTTGGTTCGTGGAATTTTGGTTCCTATTCAACAAGATTTTTATATTTTTTTCCATACTTATGTGGAGTTTGGAAAATTTTATTTTTCTTGGGTAAGTAATACCCATTTCTTAGGTGGGTAAATAACTTTTTCATGAGAAAGAAAAGTTGACAACACATAGATGGGATAAAATTGCCCCTGCCCCTTTTAATAATAGAATTTTAGGACTAAATGTCTTATTTATCTCGCAAATAAAAGAATCTGGGTAAATGCACCTACCCAGGTAAATAACTTCCCAAAAAGTGATCGGGTCTAAATATAGTTCAAAAGTGGTCTACGTATAGGAGAAAGATCCACCCACCTAGGACTGCAACTTGGGTCGGATTAGACTGAAGTTTGGGTTGGAGTTGAGAGACCGGATCTGCTCCGCACACAGGGCGCCTCACACACACATCCTACCATGCATTGGGAGCATCTCCCATACTTATAAGTTACTATTCACAGGAGATGTTACCAATGCATGGTGGATGTGCTTGTGAGACGCCCATGTGTGAGGAGCAGATCCCGTTCCTAGGGTTGACAACTTATGCTTGTGTAACCCAAACCTGACAATATATATATATATTAAAATTATATTATTTTTTGCTGATATGACAATTGAATTGGTTTTTAAAAACAAAACTAACCATGTTGTCAAATAATGCCTTAATGACAATAATTTTCTAAAACTTGATAACTATGTTCTTTTATACACATAATAATGCTAAAATTCAATGATGACCCTTAAGTCTAGAAATAAGAATATTTGGCAAAAGGTAGTAGTGACGTCAGGCCAACCCAAAGTTTTAGGGTTGGGGTTTCAACAGCTCATGTTGGGTTAAGGTTGACCTTAATCCAACCTAACCCAACCTGACTTCACCTCATCAGATTGTATTTTAGACCTTATTATGTGCACTTTCCTATTTATATCTAAATTATGTTTCTAGTTTGTACGGGAAGGTTACTTGGACGTACTCGAGTGATGAGTTGGAGCAAACTACAAAACAGAGATCAGAGTGACCGGGGTGGATGACCCAGGGAGCTAGAATTTGAGTGCTAGAGAGCTTGGATGTAAGTAATCGCGCGTACCTGGACCATGGAGGGATTGATGCCTTTATATAGCTGAGCTATCGCGGTTTCCCGAAACATTTCCGAGATCTGTGGCCTATATGGACGAGATCCCTTTCCGCTTTAGTCGGGGAGTAACGTATCAGCCAATGAACCTTATTGTCACTGCCCGATCCGGGCGAGGAGAAGATAAGGCTTGTCGTTATGTAGTGTGATCCCGTAATATTTAGAGTTTGCTGGGAAGCTATTGCAATTGATTACGTGTTACTTCGGTTCCTAGGCCCCGAACTCGATTAAGCGCCGAGGTGGCCAAACATCTGAACTCCGCATACTGCTGACTAGGCTCCCCTTGCTAAGTTATCATCCTACAGGCAGATYGCGTCCACGTGACCTTTATTTACTAAGTCGTGCCAAATTACCTCTCATCAGTATATAAATTGAAGTCTATTTTTTCCTTATCCTTGTAATTGTCGATGCCTTTGTTTAGGATTTTGATTTTATCTTTTATATCATGATAATTGATTATTTGGTTATGTTAAAGTATGGTTTTTCTTTTACTATTTTCATTAATTACATAGTACATAGGTGGTTTAGCTCCTCTTTTAAGGAATGCTCATGGAAGCAATTCCATTTACATGACGGAAATAGCCGATCAACAGCCATTAAGGCGCCTATCTCAATGATAAAGGAGGTAAGGGTGCAGAGACAACTAGGAGGTTTGCCTAAAAGCACACACACAAGCAAGTATGGACAAAGAAGTATAAAGAAAATTTTAAAAAGAAAATTAAAACAATAAAGTCAAAGTCCTCCCTTACTCTGTTAAGTCTACCCAAAACAAAAGAAGTGATGGGAAGGAAGTACAAAATTTATTTAGAAGATGAATGAGTAATTTGGGCTATGTTTGGTTGGAAGGAAAAGGTAAGGAAAGGAAGGGAAAGACAAGAAAACTTATACAAATCTTGTATAGGTTTTTCTGTCTTTCCCTATCTTTTCCTTCAAACCAAACAAACCTTATGGTAAATGTTAGTGGGCAAGAAAAAAATGGCTTAATGATAAAGTTAAAGTCATACAATAAATCACCACCTACAAATAGAGGTGCCAATGGCCCATGTTTGGGTTGCACCCTATCTGAATCAAAATCAATTTGGATGGGTTAGGCATGCGAATAAACATATTCAATTAGAATCAATCTATACTTAATGGTCCAAAATATTTATTGGATTAGATTGGAGCTGGTCCATTCATAATAGATTTATATTAGACTGGGTCAGGTTAACCAATTAATATTTGATCTATTGATAGAAAATAAGAGTACAAGTGTCAATGGACCAGGTTTAGATTGGACAAAATCTAAATTAAACTAATTCAAACATATTGGATGGTCCAAACATTGAACTAAACTGCTCCAAAATGGTCCAAAGTATTCATTGGATTGGATTAGACCTGGTGTATCTACAGTGGACTCAGTGGATCAGATCAGGTTTAGGTTGGACCAATATCCCGTAGCCCTACCTACAAAATGACAAGTCACATGTTTTGCAGATAATATTGTGACATCAAAGATGATTAATTGATTCAATTTTGACTTTATGGTGGGGCAAAATTTTTTTCTGCATTATAGTAAAACTCAAAAAAAAAAAAAAACTATTATGATGAGAACCCTTTTTATGGTGGATTTTTTAGTGGAACCATCAACAATCCCCATATATAAGATCCCTTGTATGGAGTCTGCATTGGCTGGCTATGTTAGGGGATATGTTACCAATAGAAACACCCCATGTTAGCCAAACAAGAGAAGTGGTTGAAAAGTGAACGTAACCTCCATTTACAACCCAGATTTTATTCTTTGCAAAATGGATAGGCAAGTGAGTTACCCGGCCCAAACTCTATTTTCTCTTCTTCCTCCCCCAATCACCTCTAGTCTCACTTCATCGGGTTAAAGAAGTCTCATCCAAAACTTAACCCCCTCTACTGTGGCGTGTGGGGACGGTGATGAGGGTATTTTGCATAAAAATAAATAATAGCAAACCTCATGTTCTTTTCTTCTGACACCTCCCCCGGCCCGTTTCCATCTCTAAAGAATTTGAACAATTATCGGAAGAACCTGATGACCATCTGGCAAGTGATTGGAGATTACATATAATGGGTGGCAATAGAGCTAGGGTGAAGCAAGACAAGAGGGGAGGGAAGGTGAAGAGGAACGACAAGGGCAAAGAGGAATGCCGAGCAACAACCACCTGATGATTCCAGTAGGTGTTTTCTCTCACTACAAAGGGTGATTTTTCTCCATCTCTAACTTAGATGCTACACAACCCATTTTTCTGTTGCTAAATTAAAAGTGGATTTTGCTAAAATGGCAGTGGTGGGTGCTAGCTTCGCATGGTTATTTCAGAGATACCATCTCCTTGTTGCTTGATAAAACAGAGTAATTGGCTTTCTATTATTAGAAGATGTAACACGTTTCCTAATATGAATGGGTTCGCATCTGCCCCCCCACAGACTTGCCCCCCAAAAAAGTCCCACGAAACCTAGGCGTGACGCGTGTCATGACACACGCGCACTAGGATGACTCGTACGGTCTCTATTTCACGCCATTTGTATCACGTCCGTCAATTCCCATTCTGAGTATTCTTTCTCCTATTTTACTGTGAACTCAAACCCTTGACGCCCCCTTTCGTAATCCATCCACCGAAGATAATTTCTTTCGAGTATATAACCCGAGTACCCGACCCTGTTTAAAATAATGATTATATTTAAAACAATTAATTATAGTATGACCATAAACAGTAATTTATAATAGTTAATACATAATTACATTAAATATGTTTTTAATTTAATTAACATTAATTTACGGTAATTATAGTAATTGTAGTAAATATGATAATTAACAGATAACTAATAATATCTTGATAATTATCAATAATTTAGAATTTGTAGTTATGATACTTTTTTATATTACATTTTGTAATTTACTAATAACTTCATTGATGATTACTAATAATTATTGATAACAACATTAAATTTAATTTTAGTTAATAGTAATTTATAGTAATCATAGTAATTACAGTAAACTATAATAAATACAATAAGGAAAAATTTCTTAAACTATCCCTATTATTTTGTTAATTGACAAACTGTATTCTTGTTGTTTAACTGTTGTCTTAAACTATCTCTACTTTTTTTGACAATTGATTAGCTCTACCCCTATCCTTAGCAACCCTTAATGTTCTGCCAAAATCTGTACACTGTAACACCACGTGACCTATAAATTTCATTTAAAATCCAATATTTCCCTTCGCCCCTCTTTTGTAACTCACGTATATTGTTACACCGGTTCTTCCCTTCCTCTTTGTACTTGGTAATCTCGTCGGCGTTTTCCAGCACTTCCCCGTGCCAGAGATTCTCCCATTGTGTCTCTGCCGTAGAATCTAGGCAATATCGAATTTGAGGGGGATGATTCGCCAAATTAATCGAAAGAATGAAAGCTTATCTAGAGATGAAGAATTATGTTTTTGGGCTTCTGAGATTGATTTTGTGCGATCAGAAAAAG